CACAAAATATCGCATTATTATATGTTTTTTACGTCAAACTTTATGTAGTTATATAGTGCTTATAATCAATCTCCTATTATCTTTCTTGTTAGTGACACTTATTAAAGTTAAAATGCAATAAAAATGGATAGACTTAGATGATTAGAATTGCTTGTTAGGAAAATATCAAGGTTTACATCTGTTAACAGAAATCAATAAAAATATTTGTCTTATAAATGTATCTCTTAATAAATAAAAACTCTTTAAACTATGTAAAATTATGTGTACAAATAATTATTTTACAAAACTATAATGATAATTTTAAAACTAATTTAATGATTTAATTTATTATCCAATGACAAAAGATTATATATATATACGCATATGTAGTATTACAAACAATAAATAAGAAAGACATGTGATGATGATGTGAACACAACAATTGTTATCAATGAAGATATTCTAATATATATAGCCTGTTATTAACTACAGTTATAAACTATAGATTATAGAAGTGTGAGAGAACAATGGATATATACATCCGCCTTTTCTTTCCTGACATGACATTCCTCCGTTATTAAATTTTTTGTTCGCGAATATTTTGTGCGATGTTCGATATTGAAGTGATGGAAATTTCAGACGAAGATATAGAATACGAAGATAAGTACAGAATACTTAATACTTAATACTTTGTGTTCGTCTTTCTCAAAAATTATTATTGAGAGCATGCGCAAAGAAAGTTTTTCTCTGAATATGATTCGATTCATATTCATATACGATGCATATTATAAAACATATTATAACGCATATTATAAGAAAATAAAATTTGCTAAATTAATCTGCATGGAAAGCGTTTTCGAAGCGCTTTTCAGATTGCATCTCCCAAAACTGCTGTCGTTATGTATTTTGATTCATGTAAAACATTTTTCATGCATGAATATATACAAACCCAGTCAGAAATGATAATGGAATCGACATCGATTCTATGTCGATTCCATTATCATTTTTGACTGGGAATATGTATAAACATACATAATTTTGTATGAAATATGTCCATGTTCATATATTCCTCTCTCTTTCTTTTGTAAAATTACTTTTTAATGTAATAGAAATAACAATAGTAATGTAAAAACATTAAAAATAATTGAAAGAGTAATTTTTACATTATTTTATAAAAAAATCAATTTGAAGAAATGTAAAAAAAAATACTTACATATAACTATATATAAAATTATGCATAATTGTGTATAAGTAATTTTTTTAAACATTTTTCCAAACTTGTTTTTTTCTAAAATGAACAAGGCGAAAATTATCCCATTAATTATTTTTTATGTCTTCACGTTATTATTGGTATTTCTACACTAAAAAATAATGTTACAAAAGAAAGAGGGATGTATGAATATATATGGACATATATGATTATACATGTTTATAAATATTTATGTATGTTTATATATATATTTATATATACATATTAATGTACAAAAAATTTTTTACCGGAATTGTATGTAAATAACTCGGCAAATTTCAAGTCACACTGATCAAAAAATGATTATGCGCATAAAAAGCGCTTTAAAAATGCATTTCAGAAGCAACTCTCTCTGTGATACTTTTGATGCGTTTTAAAACGCATCCAATAAACTAATTTGTCCAGACATGAATTCATATAAACGAGCCATTCATATTTCGTGCATCGACAGATGGCGGTCACAATGAGTGCATTCAGTACTACACCACTCAATGAGCTCTTGCATCTAATTGGCATATTCCAATAGATCCAAAAATATAGACCAAACAGATGCAAGAGCTCACTAAGTGTTCAGTGAGCGATTGTAGTACTGAATGCACTCAATTTTTTTCGAACATACCAGAACATATGGCGAAGAGTGAGCGGGGGTACAAGGTTTACGCAGATCATACGGGAGAAGGATGAAGATCGTCTACGATGCCGACGAGCTTCGTTGCTGTACGGTTTACCTGTTGATAGTCTCGAGGTCGATCTAACACAAGAGAATTGGCGATTAAGAGCGGGCTTCCGCCAAGCGGTATATTCTCGGTGAGTCACGTGCGCGATAGAGCGTCGGTTCTTCGTCGTAGTGGTGACAATTTTCATACAGAAACCAAGTGCGTACCGTGGTGAAATATATGCGCCCGCGTTCCGCGTGCCTTAATGATCGCGAAACACGCGTTGTCATTCACGCTCGCATGTAGTACGAGGTGGATTGGCGATGTTGCCCGCATGCACACGGTGATTCTAGTAGTTTCGCGTGTGACCCGATGATTTTCTAGCGATCATTTCGTCGGCCGCTTTTATGGGGATGATTGAAAAAATGTAAATGGTATTCGGTGTCTACCTGCGGAACTGAAGCTACTTCTTGGTACTTTCTTTTACAAAGCGATTGAAATTGTTTGAATAAGAGGATGGCAGTGCGTATCACTTTGGAGTGCGGACATACCTCGATGCTACGTATGCGTAGTACTCCTGAGGGGTACACGCATGATTGGGAGGTGTTCGTACGAGGAGTGGATAATGCAGATATACATCATTACATTGAGAAAGGTATACTTTCTTCTTAATTTAATCTTTATAATTGTATTAGTACGTTTAATTGTAGCGGATTTGAACAGAATTGGAGTAATGACATTGTATGTTTTATTATCAATAGTAAAGCATGTAACGTTCATAATCCAACCCAGATTGATAAAAATTTACTAAGTTAAAAACACTATTAGGAATTTATATACAATATTTGTATTTCTTCATTCTTTTTTTTCTTTTGTTTATATAATGTGACAAATTATCATACTATTTATCTTTACACTGTAAATGTTATTTTTTTTTAGACTTTCTTTTTATAAAAACAACTTCTTATATTTTTAGTGGTATTCCTCTTACATGATACATTTCGGAATCCTAAGAGAGTGCTCAAAGAACCACCATTTGTGGTGAAAGAATCTGGCTATGCAGGCTTTATAATACCGATTGAAATTTATTTGAAGAATAAAGATGAACCCAAGAAATTTCAAATATCATACGATCTGCATTTGCAGCAGAGTGGTCCGCCTATTAACAAGACTATACGTCACGTAGAAGTAATTCGTAATCCTTCTGACGATTTTAGGAAAAAGCTATTGAAAGGTGGAGCTGTAAGTCGTTTTTATCTAAATACTTATAGATTATTGTGTTTATATTAGAAGTAGAATATATTACAAGAAATATGTATACTCAATGTCAACATGTTAAGCAATGTATTGGTATGTTATATACTAATATAATAATTTTTCTAATTATATTTTATAATTTTAGGTCGTAGTATCCAGTAGAGATGGTTCATTAGAAAAAAGTGATACAAAAACATCCACGATGGTTGGCAAACCAAAATTAAATGGCAGCGAAAGCAAGAAGCATCGTATTACCGAATCTAAAACTTCTAATTCATTTCACGATTTATTTGGCCCTCCTATAAAAACAGCGCCTGTAAAGATATCACCAGATAGCAAAAAGACAAGTCAGTCTGATAAAAATTTAGTTCCTAAACCTTTAGCTATTACCGAAAAACTTGACAAAGTGGATAAAACAATTAAATTGAAGGAAAGTCCTCATAAAGATAGTAGAAAGGACAAAATAGATGAGAAAAAGGATAAAAAGGTTAGAGATAGTTCTAAAGATCAACTTAGGAGTAAAGATAAATCCAAGAGACCTCCTAGTCCTGGAAGTAAAAGTCATTCAAGTCCTGGTAGCAAAAGACCAGCATCACCCGTCACAACAAAGAAGCCGTTAAGTCCTTTGCCACCTACAAAACGATCTCTATCTCCTAAATCAAAGGAAAGGGATATGAAGAAAATTACACTAGAAAAAGAGAAAGATAGTAAAGAGAAGGAAAAGGCGAAAAATAACTCCAGAAATGATGTAGATTCTTCTTCAAAATCTGAAAAAAAGAAAGATAAGAAGAAACACAAAGATGATAAGGACAAAGAAAGAAAAGATAAATATAAAGAATCAGAAAAAATCAATGTTAAAGATGTCACAAAGATAATCGAGAAAAAATCTGAAAAAACGGATAAAGAGAAATCAGACAAGGAGAAATTTCAAGAACACAAATCGTCAAAAGATGACAGAAAATCGCCAAAAACTGGTAAAGAAAATGATAAAGTGAAAGAGGATAAAGCGATAAAAGAGAAGTCGGAGAAAAGTGAAAAACCTGAAAAAGCAAAAGACGGCAAATACGATAAAGATCGGCCGAAACATAAACATAAAAAAAGGGAGAAAAAGGATAAACGAGATAGTAAAGATCGAGAAAAGAAAGAAAAACGTGATAGGAGTAAGGATGAGAGTGAAAAACAGAATAACGCGTCTTCACTAATCGGGAATCCATTATCATCCCTTTTGACAGAGATTCCAGAAAGAGACAGTAGCGATTCAGCACCTTCGATAGATGACGATTCATTACCTGAAAGTAAATCTATGCTTAATATTAAAAAGGAGCCAGACCATGTAATATCCATCGTTCCAACAGAAACAGCAAAACCACTTTCTCCTGGTATATCGGTGGATGTGAAGAAAGAGAAGAGTGATCGTAGCAGACGAGACAAGTCCAAAGGAAGTAAAGGCGAAGAGAGAGAAAATCGAAAAAGGAAGAGAAGTAAAGAAGACGACGAAGTTCTAACAAAACGTGAGAAGAGAGGTCAATCAACCTCTCCACCTTTGGAGCCAGTTTCATCGAGCCAATCTCCAGTCGCGATGGATGTTGATACTATTCATCATTTAGAAAAAGAGGTGAAGAAGGAAAAGGACGATCATGTTGTCAATATGACTGACAACGTAAACAATAAAGACAATGATCCTGAACAAGTGGCTCCAGATTCTACAAATACTACTGATGCAGATATTAGTGAACCGCCAGTGTTTTCTGAGGATTATGTATCCCAACTGAAGGATTTGCAACAAAAAATAATGACATTGCAAGATAATGACGAGCTACAAAGAGTCGTACAAGTAATTGCAGAAACTGGTCAATATGAAATCACTAAGAAGACATTTGATTTTGATCTATGTGCATTGGATCGTAGAACTGTGCAGCGTCTTCAACAGTTTTTTTCTGCATCGTGACCATCTGTAATATAAAAGGCATGTCGTATTAATTTATATAGATATATTTAAAAAAAAAGATCATATAATCTTATCGATTTAATCGATAACAAACTTTTTAATGATAAAAATGTTACTCTAATCGTGAGACCCCAGAAGAATTTTTGAATACATTTTTCAGTTTAATCATATTATTGCAATATCTATGCAGATTAGAAATATACCATTTGTAGTAATTTGTGCAGATTAAACTCTTGTGATAGTAAGTATAATATGTAAAATAAAATATTTTTTTAGTTCTTTTTCACACAATTCTTAAGAAATTATCAGCAAATGCTGCTATATAATTTATATATATATTGGCAAAATTTGCCAAGAAAATATAATAATAGCAAAGATCAAGTAGCATCTGTAATATAGTCCAGTGATTAGTAATAGAAATCGAGTAGATTCTGCTAAATGCATTCTGCTGACTGCTGACACATTAAACACATTGGTAGCAAGTTGATAGCAAAAATCGAGCAAAATCTATTGCTAATTAGACTTTGTCTTCGTACTGTATTTAATACAATAAATTGTTAGATATCAAAGTAGCAACAATCCAATTCTTTAAGTCAAATAATATGTTATTTTTTACTTCTATGTGCATCAAAATCATGATATAAATCGATTTCTAGGTAATTTTAAAGTAAATATCCATATTAATGTATTTAGTAAATAATAAACCGAATTTGAATTATAATTAACAGAAAAGCTTTATGATTAAATCAATTTAAGGACATTAAGGAACATCAAAGCCAACGCAGTTTTTTTTCTTACGTTAGGCTTTGACCTATGTTACGTCTCTCATATGCTTGTGATGCACACTGATTATTTAATTGCCACGAGCATATCTAATATAGTTATTTATGTTAAAGTATTACACTGAGGATGACCTACATAGAGATCGAAATGTTTGCGTTACATGATTGTTGTATAATAATAATGACAGATTAGCATAAACAACCACGTTGGCTTTAATGCTCCCTTAAACTGAATTTAAATTAAATTAATACATTTAATATTTGGTTAGAAAATTCGTGTCGTTTTTTTAGCTCAAAATTATGCAAAGAATATATTTATTGTTATTATACTATTCAGTATAATTATTACAGGCTACGTGATCCACTATGATGATATAAATGCTTCGAAGTATTTTTTGATTGGTCAATTAGTAAAATTCTTTCTTCCGATTGATCAATCAAACGCTTCGAAGCATTTATATCATCATAGTGGATCGCGTAGCCTGTAATAATTATACTGAATAGTATAATAACAACAAATATATTCCAAGTGCCAAGTGGCCCACCTCCTCAATAGAGCAAAGTTTTAGCTTTAAAAATTTGTTTTTTAAATTGCGGTACGATGATTTGTAACGAAGCATTATAACGAGATTTATAACGAGCAATCAAAGTTAAAATACTCCTTTTATTTAATTTGCGATAACTCAGTAACAAAAAATCTTAGGAATATTTTAAAAAAACGATTTTGTAAGGAAAACTTTAAGCTTTCACTTGGATGGAAAAAACCGAAAATTTTCGCAAATTTTTTTTGGGAAAATGATAAATCCGAAGTTAGAAGTAAATTTTCTATGTTTTTCAGCTTCCAGTTTTCTGTATGTAAAAATTACCAAACTCACAAAAACTCAAAAAACATAGTAAACTTTCGAAGATAGAAATTTCAAGCTTCAAAACTATTTTTTTTAAATTTAATTTTGTTTAAATAATAATAAGAATAACAATTAATATTGAAGAACTCCTTGATATTTAACAATATAAAGACTAGAATATTCGTTTATTTTTTACGAAGATATTGTAAATACAATTTTGTGTAAAAAAAATGGCACTTTCTGATCCAATATATTTTCTTGAGTTAAACTATCTAACTTCATGTTTTAGTTAAATTTACATATTAAGCAGCGACTTATAGAAA